TAGACGAAATCCTGGATCTGTGCCTGCTTTAAAGCCTGATATAAATTACACAAAATTTATGTTAATTTTTATACAAATGGACTTCAAGTAAAAAAAATATTAATTCAAAAACATATATCAAGATGAATTTGAATGTATGATCATTTCTTGTAGACGCTCGCTTAAAAAGGAAGGATGTCTATTCTGTTACTTGGCACCCTCACCCCTTCCCTCTTCAAATCTTCACAAAATATTTTACTTTTTTAAAACTAAATTTATCAGGTAGAAACAAAAATGTATTGTAAATTTAAACCGTTTTGATTTGGTTTTTTATTAGAATGATTTGAATGAGATAGATAAAAAAAAAAAAAATATAACATATTTACACACACAGACTCCTTCGTATAAGAAAATGTCACATTTTACACATATAATTATTCATCATTTACATATTAACAATTTCCCCATTTACACAGTTGAACAGATTCATTGAATAATAATGTATAGCAATAGATTCAGTGTATAATAATGTATAGCAACAATTATTACATGTAAGACAATTCGGAAAATATGTATTAAATACAAATTTCACACATTTGATTTAGATATACAGCATCAATGACCCCCCCCCCCCGTTCACTATCTTTCAATTACCTTTTTAATTTTGGATCTGTTAATGATTTACTGTAAGTATCTTTAGATTTTTTATCATACAGCTGATATCTTTTAGATCTATAGTATTTTCTTTGAGATTTATATTTTAACAGTTTTTGTTTCATTTTAATTTAATTTTGCCTATTTTGTTGTTGTTTTAGATGATGGACAACTTTACTTCCTTTTACAACAGGTGCCCCTATAGATTCACAAAGTTCAAAAGTGGAGTTCCCATGACCCCTTTTCATTGAGTGCACAACTTTTTGTATTCTACTTTCAAAATTTCTACTACTTGTAATACATTTTGAATTTGATTTTAAATATACCGTATTCACAGATTCAGATTTTTGGGTACAAGTATGATATTTAGTTTTATCAAGATTAGCTTGTCCTAAAGTAAAAATACTGTCTTTTAACAAACATTTGTCTTCTTCTTTCATGTTTAATTCAAAGTGACTTGGCAACACTGAAGATTTCCACTTATTGCTTTACAGTTCATGACAGGGAAAGGAATAAAGTTGACAGGACTTTCTGCACTGTCCCTGTTAGCAGCTTATGATAGAACCAACAGCAGTGGACATAGCCCGCTTCATCAAAGGTAAGTCTCCAGAGTAGTGTTTATAGTAATTCTCGTACTCTGTCCTGCATTGAAGCTTCAGTTCCAAGGCAAATCTTCTCTGCATCGATTTTCTTATGGCTTTGGTTCTTCCGGAAACATGTGACTACTGAATGGAACCTTAGCAGTCTGCTTTCTTTGAGAGTCAAAGAAGTGACGCAAGTCTTTCAATTGCAAGGCTTTCAATCACATGTCCGTGTTTTTCAGATGCGCCAGACGCGGCAGGACCTATCTCCATCACTGGTGAAATGGGATATGACGAGTGGACGGTCATCACTTTGTAACTCCTGACACAATTTGTGGCCCATTTCTTCTCATCTCCAATGGTGGTCTCCGCTGGAATGGTTGCAGTGCGGACTTCGTGTACTGGGCAGGTAACTTCCTTTCCTTTGCGTCGTAGGTGTGTCTTTCTTGCATAGTTTGTTCCCACAAAACACTGCCAAAACATTTTCCTCTGAGTTACATTTTCACTTACGGTATAAGTCACTTGGGTGGCAGTTTGGAATGGGGTTTTTCCAATGGCACTGAAGGTGGTATTATTATACCGGGCATGGTCCCTTTTTGACATGATTATTATCTAACTGTACATTTGTATACTTTTTCTAAGAATATGCTATTGTATGTGGTGCACATTTGTAAGTATTGTAAACGTTTGTGTTGTTTATTTATTTTAGAACTGCCTGTTCTTCTAAGAGAAACTCCATTCTTTGATGACTGATAGAAAAACCTCATCACCCCACTGCTGAAGTACCCCTTATCCTAATCACCAACCATTAATTAGTGATCACTGTTATCAAACTTCAAGGTACATTATTGAAGTCTCTTTTGGCACCATTTTTTTCATTCTCTGACTTTGTTTTAGAATTAAAATTTTCAATTTTTTTGCTAATTAATTCCTCATAAATCAGTAAACTCCCTATTTCTTAGCTAACCAGAGCTTATTAATTAGAGCTGAAAAAACGTCTAAGCAGAAAGCCAAAAAACCCAACATTTCATTCCATTTTTTTTTTCTCTCCATAATTCACTCGTTAGATTTTTTAAGTTTTGAAATTCATATACTGTAGATTAATTTGTACAGAAATTTAGCGTAAGATTCAATTATCTGTTAGGAAGAGTTATCTCTTATTTTCCATCCCTCCAGGACAAAGATAAATTTTGATGCACTAGTATATAAAAGAGGAATATCTAAGAGACATTTTGTGCAAATTTCATTTAATTTCATTAACTTTTAGTTGTCTTAAAGGTCTTACGCAAGGAAATAGCCAATCAAACGAACTTATTCAATTGAAGTTCTGTATAGGTAGAGACAATTTCTTTTTCTTTTTTCATTTTCGGAAACTTTTTTTAGGTCTATAGTTTTAGTTTTCCACTCATATACTAGGAATATCATATTTTTAGCAGAAGTGTGCCGCTGAATTATAGTGAACTCGTTTTTTTAGGTGCGCATGATGCAACTTCCTAGATGGTGTGTAAACTGTTTGTCAACATGTGAAACACACGTGTATTTCGGGATAGGTATGTTTACTCTTAATTTTCTTTCTTAAAAGCCACATAAGGCGTATTTTTTCTGATCTCAAATTTTTGTCTCAGCATTAATCTTTATTTTCTCTTTCATGAATTATCTGCTGAGAGTCTAGTTACTTGATTAATTTAATTAAAGCTATGTAGTAACATATAGTAAAATTATTCCCATGTGTGAGACGGTAATGAACTTTTGAGCTTGAATACTGTTCATGTTCGCTATTTCCATAATTTCAATTATCTTTCTTGATTAGTTAGAGTCAAGGAAATTCTTTCTGTACAGGATTGTTAAATGACATTTTAAAAAATAGTCGTCTTTTACCATCATTAAGTTCACACTTTAGAAAATATTAACAAAACAATATCATTATTTCGACAAAATATTTCCATAGAGACCTGTTCCTCAAAATAAAACTCCTATACAATGAATTTTATACTGCCCTTTGCAACAAGCATATATGTCCTAGAAAACACACGGTTTATGCAAATACGTGAATTATTGTCTACATATACCATGGATCTACTCACATGATTATTCATGCTAATTAGGTAACACTTGAAATTTAACCTCTTACATTTTCTTTATAAGGAAGAAAAGTATTTATTACTTGCATAGAGAAGTGACAATAGATTTGAAGTTATTCATTGTCAAAGAGATTTTTATGCCCCTAGATCCCGGGAGTATATTGTTTTTGTCCTTTCTGTCTGTTTGTCTGTCTGTCTGTCGTCAACTTTAACCTAGCTTATAACCATTTCGCTGTCAAGGGTAAGGCTTGAATATTTTACGAGTGTTCATTATGACAAGACCTTTCCATTGGTACAGAAATTTTTGATCATGTTACCTCTACTGTAACCTTTGACTTATATTTGAAATACCACTTCAGTTGACGTCCAACTCCAGAACTTTGTTGCCATCGGGGGCAAAGTGTTTCACAAAGTTAATACATCTTGTCTTCTTAACACCTTTAAAAGAGAGCTTAACTAATTATTTTCATACAAATGTTTACTTACTCATCAACAAGGAGTTTCTCGCTAAATTATATTCATAGAGATATTTTCTTTATCGATATCATAAAGCAACTACTGTAAAAGCACATATATTCGTGGGGGATTAAATTTCGCTTATTTCGTTGTTAACAATTATCCATGTATATAACATATATTGAATAGGCAGATTGTATTTTTGATGACAAATCATGTTTGTGCTTCTTCATATATTGTGAAACATTCATTTATTGTACATTGGATTCATTTTAATTAGTTGGAGATAGTGAAGGGGGGGGGGCAATGTTCATGGTTAAGCAAAATTTCGTTGGCTCGTTAGTGCGTATTATTGTGGGTTACTCAAGTATACAAAAGATTCAATGAATACATGACATTGCATATACACGTTTGTTGACAAAATAATTTTTAGTTGTGATGTTATTCGGTGAATATGGTTGACCCTTAAAATTCAAGAACATTACTCCCCCATTAGCGTTAAATATTTCACAGTAAGTTATATGATTTGTGTATATTTTATGAACAGATGCAGACATGTTTATGTTCATGGTTTGTTTGAAAAGATAGAGAAAAGGTCTAATTAGTGAAAAAAGATGAATAAAACATGTATGAAAATAATTTGAGGATTGCACTACATTTTGCTGTCTTAAAACGGTCACAAGTCATTTTAAGAGATAGTTAAATCTTTTTTGAAAAGTGTGTGTTACACTTAATATTTTTTGTGTTTTCTTCATAACAAATAGATTGTGCTGCTTAAGTCTCACCATTTTTTTAAATATCACCTATAGCCTGGTTTCACATTTTATCAAAAACCTGTTGAAATTGATAATAATGAAATGTTGAAAGCAATATTTTTTTTTCTTTAAAAAAAGACCCTTCATGCTGTAACAGACTCTGAATTATTTATATAAATCATCTGAACAGTTTTAAATCTAAATGTCATCTAAATAAGCTAATGAGTCCATCTTTTTCCTTTTTCATGAAAAGCAAACTAATTTATTGATGGTCTCAAACATGCACTTAGTGTATCCACATAATGAATGCAAATTTAAAACAATTTACAAACATCACATTAAAACCAGATAACCAGTAAACATTGTATCATTTACATAAAAAACCAAAATTGATTGTTTACACTAATGAAGAAACATTATTGATATGCGGAGGTTAGGAACACTTGTGTGTCAATTAATCGTCTTTCAAGTCTTTTTGGGCAACATTGCAAGCAATTTACAGTGTGTGCTTACTTGATAAATAACCTCAAATTTAAAAGATCTGCTTTTGGTTTGTTAAGACAAAGACAAGGAACCTTATCTTAAGGTAAGTTATGTTATTTTCTTAACACATTACTGCGTTTCTCTTTACTACAAGTACTGCGTTCCCCTCTTTACTAATAATCAAGTGTTTCTCTTCAATGTGATCACCAAAGAACACAATCCGGTCAAATATTACAGATCTGTCACAAACAAATCGATATTGCCATGTAATTAGCAAAAAAAGTATAAAACAACGATAGAATCCTTGCAAATATATTTTTTGATATCATTTTGATAAAATTAAGCTATTGACAAACAAGTTGATGAAACCAGAATTTCAACAATCTCGTTTAAAGTAAATATTTTGCAAAGTCTATGGCCGATACAATGATCTTGTCAACTATTAAATTTGTCATTCTGTCAATTACCTTTTAAATTTTAGGCCCTTATTTCTACAGATTTTTTTCCCTTTTATCCGATCATGACAAGGAGAAGACATCGAGTGTGTTCGGTCAAAAGGGGATTCTGATTTCCATGTGGCATCCTACCAAACCTCTGATACTGACTTTGACTTTGAGTACTCTTCGTTATATTTTCATATTTCACTTGTAAAACTCGTTTGATATAAATAATATGCATCATAATAAGGCTAGTTAAATATTTAAAAGATGCATGAATATACATTAAAGCATCACATTGGTTGTAATCCTAAACACAAAACCAATCAAATACAAAAAATGGCACCAAATTTGGTCTAATGACATTCGGGGTCAAACTAATAAGGAAGGAAGGAGGGTTAATGTGGTCAATATATATGGTGCTCAGACCCACTTTCTTTTAAAATATGCATGTGTATGAAAGTTTTACAATAATTTGAATATCTATTTTCCAAATATTAACTTACAAAAAAATGAAATATTCTTGCGAAAAAATATCTTTTCTCTTTTTGAAAAAAAACATAAAAAATGAATGGAAAAAAAAATAAATCGTTTAACATCTTTTTGTATGAAAATCTGTATTTCAAAAAAAAAAACCCCTAAATATTTAGGCATTTGTTTTACAAGGCATCATTTGAAAAAAATGTTTTGATGTACACATATTTTTCTCCATATTTGATGAATAAATATGCTATATACAATCGTAATCATTTGATTTTTTAAAAATAGAGTGTATCAAAATTGGAGGTTAAGACATTTGAGAAACAGGTACATTCAATTAGTTAAAAATACATTTTTGAATATGTAATTATGCACCCGGATAGATAGATCCAGGGAGTATATTGTTTTGTCCTGTCTGTCTGTCTGTTTGTTTGTTTGTTTGTCTGCAAACTTTAACCTTCGTCATAACTTTTGAACCGTGAAAGATAGGGACTTCATATTTGATATGAATACTCCACTGATTAGGCCCTTTCAAATGAAATCAAGGTCAATGACCTTGTGACCTTGACTGTGACTTGTATGCTAAAATATTATTTTCGTACCTTTGCCATAACGTTTGAAACATAGAAGATAAAGACCGCATATTTAGTATGCAAACTCCACTAATTTATTTCTTTCAAATGACACCAAGGTCAATGACCTTGTGAATTTGACTGTGACCTTTTTGCTAAAAATAGGTTTTTTTTAATTATGTTATATATTACCTGGTCAAATTGATATCAGGTACATTTGAATCCTATGTCCCAATAATGGAAAAGAATTGATTTATTTACGTTTGGAATGTTTTCAGTCACGTGGGGATCCAGAAATCAAATCTGTGTTGACTAATTTGTCAACCACAATTGGTCTTCAGAAAAAAAATAAATGGTTAATATGATGCAAATATCAAATTTCTAAATAATAAATAAGTAAGAAATTGGCTCGAATGGCTATTTCCATAAAAGGATATTTGCTTGAATATTTATCCTTATACTATGAATATATGGAAATATTCATAGTACAGTAACTTAAATATGAAACTAATATTTTTTTTTTCAAAGAATTATTATCAACGTTTTAATTACTTGAAATTATTTATCATTGACTTGAAGAAAGGATGCAATATTCTGAAATGACGTGTACCACTTTCTTTCATGAAAACTTAAAAAAATACTCATGCCGTACAATAATTATCAGTATGTATTTCTATTTCATTTCAGATATAGATCATTCTAAGGCAAGATCTACCAACATGTTCAAATTTTCGGAGGCAATTGTATTGGCATTTCTAATTCAGATTTCATCGTCGCAAAATTCAACGTTAGACATCCCTCCTACTCCAACAGACCCTCCGAGCTACGACTCTAAGAGCGAGCCTCGTGCCCTTTACTCTCTTCCTCCTACAGGATCTTCTTCATTCGATTCCCTTCCACCAACAGAAGCTCCTCAGTTCGATTCTCTACCGCCAATGGGTCGTCCCCAACTTGATCCTCTACCGCCTACTGAACCTCTTTCATTCGACTCTTTACCACCCAGGGAACCTCCCCAATTTGATCGTCTACCACCAACGGAACCACCTCAGTTCGTCAACATACCAACCAGGGAACCTCCCCAACTTGATCGACTATCACCGATAGAACCACCACAATTCGACTCAATACCCACAATAGATCGTCCTCAGTTCGACTCTTTACCATCCGGGGGACCCCCTCAATTAGACCGTATACCACAAACGGAACCCCCGACTTTCGATTCTCTAGCACCCACAGATCCCAGTCAATTCGAATCTCTACCATCTTCAGGACTTCCTCCCTTCGACTCTCCACTTCCGACAAGACCTCGTATCCTAAACTCCCCTTTACCATCGGTGGTTCCTACATCTGCCGATTCCGCCCCTCCTGTCGTTCCTTCTTCCTTAGACAATTATGGCGGGAATGTTTCCAATTACAGTATCGAGTACACCAAAAACCTGAAGGACATAATGCAGAGGTTTAAAATCTCAGTGGCGGAGTTTGAATCGATGTTTTATGCTTTCATAAATGGCGGGAATCCAAAAATTACAAAGATTGTGTATAACCCTGATACCGGCAAAAACGAGGCTAGTCCCTTTTCTATCTCCCTCTACCTTCATTCCTTAACGCTGATGCATATTTCTTATTATATTTAATGTGTATAAAATGATTCAGTAGGAAACCTCAATCAACAAACAGATGTAAAGTTATCATTTTTTTCTCGTTCTTGATAAAGGAGGTTATTACATTCCAAAAAACTATATCTTTAATAAAAAGGACTAAATAATAAGAGACGTAATACTTTTTTTTAAAAGGATTTTGACTGCACAATAGCAAACAATAATTGATAAAATATAAAAAAAATAATAATAAAAAATTGTCACAAATAAATCTTTTAAAAGATGAAATAAAAACAAATCAATAAGTAATCGGAAAAAAAGGTTCAAATCGTGAAAATCTTCTAAACCGGTGTTGATGATAATCTTCTTATATGTGACGTTAAAGTGCATGTGACATTAAGTAAATGTTTCTATTATTACGTCATCTTAATTATGACGTCATGGTAACGTCAATGTTATGCAGTGTTTCAAATGATCAGTCTAGATAAACAAGTCAACGTGATTAGAAGTGTTTTTCTTTCTATCTGACTCAACAACCGGTTTCAACATGTATTCTTTTTCATTATTACAGACCGTGACAATTGATTTCAAGCGCATTGCTGGAGGTGAAGGTTTTCCATCTGAAGCCCGACAAAGGCCTATATCGTCTGCTCGATCTGATGCCCCACGAAATGCTGATGTTTTGAATTCTGGCCCTGTTGGTTTGAACACAACGCAACCCAAACAAAAAATACCTATCCCAGTGTTTCCACCAATGTCTGAATTTTTCAAGAATCCAACACCAGTGGTAGTGAACGGTATATTACCTGAATCAATAGATCTTGATCTTGCTGCGTTCAGAGAACACGAAGCAAAACTTATTGACGACGTGAAACTTCTGATGCGTCGCCGAGAGGCATTAGATGAATTTTTTTCTAGAGGAAATCTAACTGATGAGAATTACCGAATTTTGTTGGAAAACACAGATATACAAATACGTGATAATTACGGAGTTTTAAAGCAGATTCAGGACGCCATCCGCAAGTATCTGGGTATTGGAACCCCACGAGCTTTTAGTCAACAGCTGCCAATGGTGACACCGGAGGCTTCGCCAATACCAGATTTTATGGGTTCGGGTTCAATCGGAGGCCAATTGCTGACCCCAGATGAAAAGCTGACATTTATTCAGTCAGAAATTGATAGGTTGCAACAAGCAAGTGCTGGACTTTTGGAGAGACTTCAAAGTCTACAGATGCCAAATATTGACTCTGTTGCTACAGCGGATATTAATGAAATGCCACCTAAACTAAATGTACGTGGTACAAGCAATGATGCTATGAACTTTATGAATTCCTTGGATGGAACGATCCTATCCCAATCAACCGCAGGCTCCATTTCTGATTTAGATTACAACGACGGTGACATACATGTATCTAAGCCTGCTGTTCAACCCGTTGGTTCTCTAGAGGGTGACAGTACTGTACCTATAGGACCGGCAGTTCCTATTAGCGGGTTCTCTTCTGAAGCTTCTGGTCTTCTGCTGCCAAGGGATGAAACTATGTAACTTCAAAGTCGACAAGTTCGACTCTTTAGGCAAAGGCCATTGGTCATGGGCATGACAAGTAGACATTTCCTTAAAAATAGCCAACCTGTGCGGTTAATACATGTATAATACATGTATAATACATGCAATGTTGTGTTAATCTATGATTGTCTTTTTATCAGCAGGATATACGGTATTCAATTAATGTCTTCCATAGAATGTTCTCATAAACATGCTGACAAAGGTTTGTGTACAAGAAAGTTAGAACAGAAACAAATTTTACGTGTATGAGATAAAATTAGAAGTATTTGTTTAACATAATCATTGTTTTTTTTCTTCTAATAATCACATTATAAAGAATTGTGAGTAAAAGCACCACATCTTTAACTGTTCAGCATTATCATTTAAAGCAAGTGTCTCAACGAAAGGGCAATTTCTTCCATGGGTAAGGGATTAAAATTGGGATAAGGCTGAAGAATCGAGAAATAAATAAAGTAAGAGTGGGAGGGATTTATGATATATGATGTGTATATAGCATAATTAATGATTTCTTTATTAAAGGATACAACTTCATTGTTATTTTTTTTTCTTAGCTTTATAATTTATGTAATTAGGCGCTCGAAAATTTGTATATATTGTTATGACACATGACTCGTTTATATGTTCGTAGACGTCCATGGATATAATACTAAAACTGATCACAGATCATCAAAGGAAACATACTAGCAATCTAAATATTGCTATTTTTTAACAATTAATGTTATCTGCATCGATATGTATTTATACCGCAGTATGGCAATTTTAGAGATATTATTCGTCGAAAAAATAAGCTGTGTAATTAAGAACTAGATAAACCTAGATGGTAAACAATTTTGAAATTTCAAAATTCGACTTTTAATAATAACTTTCATATATTTGACTGAAAAAGAAATCTCTTGGGTAGATATACAAAAAAAATATGTAAAAGTGTGATACAGTCCCTGAAACGTTCTACTTTCCCGTTTTTCCGTTCGCTCACCGTTCGTTCAGCGTGCGTTCACCGTTCGCTCTCCGTTCCCGGTTTTGCGTCCACCGTTCACCGTGCGTTTGCGTACACCGTTCACAAAACGTTCACCGTTCGCTCTTCGTTTCGTTTACTTTGGGTTCACCTTGCGTTCATCGTTCACTTATCGTTCAGTTCTCATTTTCATTCGGAACTCCGGAGTGAAATGACTTATCTTTTTGATGGTAAGGATTTACACGTTTTCTTAATTAAACAACTAAGATATCGTGTTTGATGAATAATTGTTTCATTGCAAAAAGTATCTACTATACATTTCTGTTATTATAACTTAGCTGTTACACTTTATCCATGAAATTTCCCTGGAAAATAATCCATTAAGTACTTACATGTGTGAAGAACGATGGTAAAATATTGAATTTAAACAAGGGCAATGTACAAATGCTTCAAGCACGGCAACATTTTGTTGTGATGTAATAGACAACAAATCGTTAAAGGATGGATAATCCAAGTCTTTAACAAGACAAAAATACACACAAAAAAAATTTCTAACATGTATTTAAAAAAATACACAAAAAACATATTAGAACTACATGTAGGTCTGAGAATTATGAACAGTACTGCAGATATTTAGTTAATCAAATGTCTTTAGAGCTAATTAGATTTATAGTGTGATTTTAAATTTAAAAAAAATAAGGGATATGCTGGATCCCCAAAAACACAAAAGGCCTCATTGTTGGGCGTTGTCATATTCCTCTGCATTTCGATTTCCACACCACTCTCTCTCAGCAAACCGGCATCGTGTCGTCTCCCTTCCACTGGGCCATAAAAGTGCGCAATTATTCCATTAGGGGCCATGATACTTTGGAATTTCAAGCCATGCACTCGTTTATGGCCATTGTAAACAATTCTCTGGTTGTGCGCTGGACGACATATTGCTCGAACAGTACCATCGATGAAATCCCAGCAGTTTTCCAGAGGAGCATTTTTATCCCGAATAGCGGTAGCCATGGCTTAAAACTCACCATATGACAACCAGGGTCTGTCCAGTGTATCGAGTAGAAATGCATAATTGTCGTATATGAAGTCAAATGCTGTGTTAAATATGTTTGAAAGCTTATATTTTGTTCTACCAATAGCAGGGAAAAGTCCTCGAGTCGATAAGGATATGCAAGACGCCTAATTACAACGGATAACCCCTCCATTCCACTGCACACTGTGCAATTCGCACATCGAAAAACCTCAGGGACTTACATTACACGTCTGATCTCATTCGATCCAGCTTTATCAAAGCGAAATAAATGCTTACATTGTTGGTCTGAAATTTCCTCTATTTGAAGAACAGATTGATATTTACTGGGTTTTATTGTTTCCAGTAACCTTGTGAAATTGTGGCCAAAATCTTTAAATTTAGTGCCATTTTCGAAAGATTGTAAAATCAAAGCTTATAAGCTAAGAAATGTTTATTATTATCCAACGAAAAAACTTTTACGTTCATAAATTTTCACGTACACGTACACGTTTTAATTGCTAAACAACAAAAGTAATAACAACTTGTAAGTAACTCTAACTTGTAATTCACACGTACAAGTACGCGTACACGTTGGTTTGCTAACTCTAACTTGTAATTCACACGTACAAGTGCTAAACCTCTCTAATAAATCTCTTTTCTAATAACTCGTTTTCATAAGATAATAACTCGTTTTCACAAGATAATAACCCGTTTTTTTCACAAGATAATAACTCGTTTTCACAAGATAATAACCCGTTTTCACAAGATAATAAGTCGTTTACACGTTTTCAGATAATAACTCGTTTTCTGAAACTCGTTTTCATAATAACTCGTTTTCACAAGATAATAAGTTTTCACAAGATGATAACTTTTTCACAAGATAATAACTCGTTTTCACAAGATAATAACTCGTTTTCACAAGATAATAACTCGTTTTCACAAGATGATAACTCGTTTTCACAAGATAATAACTCGTTTGCACAAGATAATAACTCGTTTTCACAAGATAATAACTCGTTTTCACAAAATAATATCTCGTTTTCACAAGATAATTATGTCGTTTTCACAAGATAATTTTTTTTCTGTTTTCACAAGTATTTAAAAAAAAAATAATTGCGTGTCCTAAATATATATACCACCGTAAAAATCAGTTCTAGGAATGATAGGAAAAAATATTGAACTTACCACCGTTGGAAATACTAAATGGCTCTTTGCCTTCAGCATGTTCGGTGACTAGAGATTTCCACACACCCACTGTGGGTGTTGCTAAAACGCGGAACGGAAAACGGAACGGAAAGCGGAACGGAACGGAAAACGGAAAATAAATGTCAAGCGAATAACCTTGATTCGATCTAAATCAGTCATAAAAAGCATTATTCATGATATAAAATTCATATATAATGAAAAATTATCATAAAATATGATATATTCATGAATCTTGCGCCCCTCAGAACTTGCACATGTACATGCGATGGTCAATGAAATACATATTGTGATAGATTTACTAACTAGACTCAAGTCCTGAGTATCAATCTGTGAAACGTTTCGTTCAAATTATTTTTTTAAGAATGCTCATTTATAAACAAAAATCTTGTTCTGAAATAGGTTGCATGAAAAAAGACTACTAATAAGTATTATACGTGTATCAGTAAAGAAAAAAGAACTAGTTTTGACATTCAGATTATGCATGTATATTGGTGAACCCAGGAATCTTGAAAAGAAGGGCAGCTAAGGTCGGAGTAGGTGCCCTCAGTCACACAAGAAATTGATTTATTTATTGAATCTTATTTATAATATGGTCACAAAAAGAAGAGGAGTCCTGGTCCCCTTTAAATCCATGAGTGGCATGATTTTTCCCTTTAATTGCAACTTTTCAGACCTGAGCGGAAAAACAAACTCTAAATGTTTTACGGCCGGGATCACACCCCCTTCCAAAAAATCACACTTTAACTTTATTGAATGTTAAGATGATACATTAATTTAATTTACTACAGTTACGATTTACAACTCTATCTATCCAAGAATTTAATTGACAGGAAGCGATTTTATTTTGTATAAAATTTAACAACCAATCGAAGTGTTTATCCGGGCTTGCCGGAAAGGGGTGCCGTAATAGTAATCTTAAGATTTTTTTTACTTTTTATTTTTTTACCAATTACCATTATTCATTTAGATACCAAATATTGCCCCCCCCCCTCAACTGTTTACCAAATATAACCTTTTAACTATAGAAATGTTTATTGAAACCCCCAACACTTTCTGTCTGTTAAATTAATGTAGTAAGTTGGTGTAAAAAATAGTACTGAAAGAAATTGGAGTTGGAATTTATACCAATTGTCTTTTTTCGCTTGTCAAGTTCGACTTTTTTCTCTGCCCCCCCCCCCCTTTTCAAAAGCGATGCTATGTCACTACTATGTCAGCGGTTTTCGTAAGAGACTTAACATGACTAAATCAACTTGTATTTATTAAGGAGTGATTTATATGTATAACATACATCGTTTCTGAGGAAATTTATGCATTTCAAATGATTTTATCGAAAATAATATTTTCCGTTTTCCGTTCCGTTCCGTTTTCCGTTCCGTTTTCCGTTCCGCGTTTTAGCAACACCCCTCCACTGTGTCGAATGATTTTGATTGACAGGACAAGCACGTAGACTTCCTGTGAGCCGTGTGAACTTGAAGATAGAAAATAAATGCTGATGAATGCTGTCAAATGGATTTGTTAATCTTAAAAAAATAATTACTTTTACTGCTTGGAATATTTAAGAAAAAAAAAAATGAGAATGAAGGGGGTCTCTCTCTCTCTCTCTCTCTCTCTCTCTCTCTCTCTCTCTCTCTCTCTCTCTCTCTCTCTCTCTCATTTCTTTGTTCAATAAAATCTATGACAGCACATTACTTATTTAATTTGGAAATTTAATCTATTACAAATAATTTGATTTCCTCTTTCCATCATCTTGTTTGAGTATAATCACGGCCAAGAAATATCTACATATACATGTAGAAGTTAGCTAAAAAAAATCATCATAAATGAATAAAAATGACACATAAATTATTAATATTTTGCATTAGAATTTAAAAATACGAGTGTATACATGCAATACGTCCGGTCATTTGTAAATAAAAAAAAATCCGTTATTTTCTCATAATCGCCTTGGCACGGAAAACATGTATGGCTGTTTCAACCGGGTACAATGTAATTAATTCATTCTATAAGTATTACTTTTCTCTTCTACAGTCCACATTATTTTATTAGTTAAAAGAATACACAAATTTACTATATAAGTAGATTAATTTTATATTTATACTACACAGTAACAAATACACATGTTTACGGCAATTAAAATCGTGTTATTAAATTATCGATTTAAAACTTATGTATGTGCAGAAAAAAAAATTATAATTGTTTATTTATATTATAGCACCTGAAATTAGAATTGTGGAATAATAGAATAATTTCAATGCAAGGAAAAGTTCGGAGGCATTCCGAATAAATCGTTCATCTTGCGTTCACCGTTCTTTCACCGTTCACTCTGCGCTCGCGTTTGCGCTCCGTTCGCGTTCT